GTGGGTTCGTAAAGCCATGTGGCCTGCTCTAATCAGGATCATGCTGTCAACCTTTTAACAAGGCCGCCTCTGAATATCCTTGCCTTCAGCCGTATTCAGAGCTCAGAGTTTCTCGGGATGTTTGCGCGCCACAGGAAAAAGGAACGAGACGGATGTGTATGTTTGTGTATGAGCAAAATGCTTCCTGAGGGAGAATTTCTTCCATACTAAAGGCAGACCATTAGTCTTGAGACGCGAATGCCCTTTACAAATACCGTGTAAGGACCTGCGAAACGACTTGTTTGACCATTAGAATGTTTTACAAGTAAGTCGGAAACACGATCTCCCTTCTTTCCACCCGACCTCTTAAACAGAGGAAAGTAGACGAGTAACGAGTGAACCGAAGTTCACCCGGTCAGCAGTTATATCTCACACACACACACATAGAAGGTTATCTTGTCTTGCTTTCAATGACTTTATGGATCATCCTTGAGCAAAGAGGCTCTGAGAGGGTTCTGTGCTTAGCAATAGCAATATCGCTTAGACTTATAAACTGCCCCACAGTACTTTACAGAACTCTCTGAGCGGTTTACAAATGTCAGCCGATTGGCCCTCAACAATCTGGATCCTCATTTTACCGACTTCGGAAGGATGGAAGGCTGAGTCAACCTTGAGCCGGTCAGGATCAAACTCCAGGCTGTGGGCAGAGTTAGCCCGCAATACTGCATTCTAATCACTGGCAGCAAAGTGTTCTTGGGCCTATTCACACACATTTGGGCTGGCTGGTTACATTTTCTTCCTTTCTATCTTTGTATAAAGAAACGACATAGGAAGAAGATTCATTAGCCAAGACTTTGCTTTCTCGTTCTGTTGTGCCCCAGGGAGATGGCAGGATGCTTTTAATTGGCCCAGGATTCCTATTTTACATTCTCCAAGCCACTTCTGTATTGACCGCCCTCTCATTACGCTGACTTTTAGCACAAAGGAGAATTTGTATCCATCCTGGTAACTCGAGCAACACCAGATCAGGATAAGGAAACCTTTGCACCATTGTGAGTTCTGGAGGACAAAGACAGGTTTCATCTATTGGTCAATTATTTGGCTGTGGCCTAGCATATTGTGGTTTGTAAAGCATGTCTCATGACCTGGATTCAAGTGCTGCTATTTATATACCCCTAGTTCCTCTGTCTGCTAGCCACAAACATTCTTCCAGTCCTGTTTCTTGCTGCTTTTTTCATAAATGAGACTCCTGCATATGAATGAAATGAAGGATAGAAAGAGGGCCCCGTCACTTGGTGCTGTTGATCAATTACGTTTGTGTGTGTCTCTCTCTGTGTGTGTATAGTAATTTCACAGATAATTAATTAAAGACAACCACATTCATAATTATTCCTCATCACCCTCCCATAACATCTGCCTGGTGAATTCAATCCTGTGGGGTTGGCATGTTCAGGTTCTTTTGACTAAAGATATCTGCCCATCCCTATTCAGGCACTGTGAAAATTGCAGTGTTCCAATATTTGAGGGGCTCCCATAAAGATGAGGTCAAACTATTTTCCAAAGCACCAAAGGGCAAGACGAGAAACAGTGGATGGAAACTAACAAAGGAGAGAATCAACTAACCAAGGAGAGAATCAGCCTAGAACTAATGAGAAATTTCCTAACGGTGAGGGCAATCAACCAATGGAACCGCTTGGCTTCAGAGGTTGTGGCTGCTCCATCACTGGAGGCTTTCAAAAAGAGACTGGACAATCATTTGTCTGAAATGGTATAGAGCCATGGTGGCGAACCTATGGCACGCATGCCAGAGGCAGCACTCAGAGCCCTCTCTGTGGGCACGCATGCCGTCGCCCCAATCCTAGGCCTTTAGCTGGGTTTTATAAAACCTTTTCAGTTTAGGCCTCCGCCGCCATGTGCAAAAAAAAAAAAAAAAGGTTCAATCAATCAATCAATCAATTTCAACTTCTCGCGGGGGGGAAAAAGATCTCGCAAAGTTGGAATTGATTGATTGAACTTTTTAGTCCCACCCAGTCTGCCGTTACCACCGCAGCCACACCCACCCAATGGGCCATGCCCACCCAATGGGCCACGCCCACCCAATGGGCCATGCCCACCCGACACTCGACAATACATAAGAGGGTTTTGGGTTGCAATTTGGGCACTCGGTCTCTAAAAGGTTCACCATCACTGGTATAGAGTCTCCTACTTGAGCAAGGGGTTGGACTAGAAGACCTCTAAGGTCCCTTCCAGTTCTATATTCTACGAAGACATATTTTTCATGGGCTGGTGGTGCTGGAGGTCTTGTGACATTACAGCATGCCTTTGTCATAAAAGCCGAAGCATCACCTAAATTACAAGAAGGAATAGACTGGAGAAACTGAGCCTCCTGAGAAGAAAAGTGCACACAGGGAAGATGTACTAAGAGAGAGGCTGGGTTCTCGTGAGCGGTGAAATCAAACCCAGGCACTTGTGTTGAATAAGCCAAAGTTGGCTGGGTTCAAACATAATGCTAACCCTTAAACCATTGTTCACAAACCATAATGGTGAAGTTCGCACTACCAAAGGGTGTGAAGGAATTAGAG